ATGATAGTTTAATATTAACTTTATTAGAATAGTTTTCACAGAATTCTATTTAAAGCAATAGTTATTTAGTTATTTAAGTTTTTAGTTCGTTTAATGTAAACAGAGCCTGGACCAAGGTACACAAGCACAAATGGCACCCCAGGATAGCCCAGAATAATATAATAACAACATAAGAAACAAACAAAGCCAAACAGACTCAATTTGATAAAAGTGCCCTTACTATATTAAAAGGTGCCCATACTATAGTAAAAGGGCACGCACTTATTTGTACAGGTAATACAAACCCCTAAAAGGAAATGGCCAATCAGAGTACACAAAATTTGATTGTTCTGGATTAGCCTGACATGAATTCCAAACACGTACAAAAGAAAAAAAAGCGAAAATACTTGAAAACTAGTGTTTAAATCGATCTTGGTTCACTAATTAAAAATTTCAGAAACTAAATTTTACATATAACGAGTAACAATTTATTGTTATAGCCTCTAATATTAATGCTCTAACTCTAAACTTCTATCTTTACACACTTAGTTTATTTACAAAATACAATTGCTTTTTTTGGTTTGTATTACCTGCACAAATAAGTAAATCATAGTAAAAGGTGTCTATAGAACCCCGAACAATCTACAAATAGCTAACAATTTGCAAAAATTACTAAAAATAAAAGGATCTGTGGAAAAAAAGCCTGAAATAAGCAAACTAATTACTATAAATAGAAAAGATCAACAAAAAATAGTCTGAAATAAGCAAACTAAAATCTTACCTGTCTATAGATTGTTTGGGGTCCTGTGCCTATGCTATAGTAAAAGGTGCCTATTCTATAAAAAAAGGTGTCTATTCTTTAGTAAAAAGTGCCCAATCTATTATTTCAATCATTTTAAGATGCTTATCTAATATCTGAAAGTGCCTATCCAATATTAAAAAGTATTTTTTCTATAGAAAAAAGTGCTCTTCCGTTAATAAAAAGTGCCCTTCCTTAATAAATTACTATATTTTTATAGTAATTTAATATTCCAGAAAAAGATATTTAAACTCCTCCACTTTTCCTAAAGCACAGAAACAGTTGGTCCATATATTTTGGTTGTTATAACCTTATATTATTGATATTCTATTTATAGTTTTTGTCTTGAGTCTTGGGTTATTCTTATTTTCTTCTTTATATAGTGATCAGTGTTGTCAATTTGACTAGACTAGTCCACTGGACTATTTGTTTGGACCAATTAGTTCAATAAAAATTCAAGTTACTGGACTTAAGATATTAGTCTAATAATTTTATCCAATTAAATTTAATTATGTGATAAAGTTAAACCAATCAAATTTTATTAATTGATGTTAAATTAATTTAATTAATATTTGATTAAAACATGAAAAAACCTGGTTTACTTTAATCGAAGATGCCAAAATCACATTGCTTAACACCTTATATAGAAATTCTCAAAGAAAAAGCAAATAATTATAATTATAAAGCAATTTGCTTGGCATGTATTGAATTTAAAAGAAAAGTATATACACTCGAAGAAAAATTTACAAATACCAAAAAATGTTGTTGTGATCATTTTAAAAAATGTTTTTGGTTTAAACAAAAATATGAAGAACAAGCAACAAAAATAATTGATAATACTGATAGTGAAAATACAATGCAACGACGATATAAAAGATCTCGTATTATTTATAATGAAGGTAAAATTATTAAATTTTTTTTTTTTTTAAACCTATTTAAATAATACTTATAACATATTTTATTTTAGATAATGAATCTGATAGTTTCGATGAATTTAATTCATTATCGAATAATACTTCTAATTCAACTTCTAAAAAATTAAAAGATAGTTCATTAAATTAGTTTGTTCTTCAACAATACAAAGGTGCTAGTCTTGATAAGTTATACTACTTAATATTAAAAGCAACTATTTCAAATGGTTGGAGTTTTCATTGAGTTAAAAACCCTAATTCTATAGAACTTTTTCGGTTCATTAATTCTGCAATTAAACTACCACCACGAAGAACATTAAGTAGAATAATCTTATCAAATACATCTAATCATTTGGTTAATAAAATTCAGCAAAAAGCTCAAAATAATATCTATGGTATAACAC